AATTATTTTTTTATTTTTATTTTTGGTACCAGGGATCGAACTCAGGTCCTTGCGTTTGCAAGGCAGGTGGCAGAACCACTGAGCTAAATCCCTGGCCCTTTGCTTTTTTTTTTTGGTACCGGGGGTTGAACTCGGGTCTTTGCACTTGCAAGGCAGGCCACCGAACCGCTGAACTAAATCCCTGGCCCTGTGGTTTTTTGAGACAGGGTCTCACTATATAGTTGAGACTGACCTGGAACTCACTATGTAGCTCAGGCTGGTCTCGAACTCACAACAATCCTTCTGCCTTAGCCTCCCGAGTGCTGGTATTACATGCGTGCACCACCACACCAGGAGATAAGTCCTGAGTATAAATGACATGGTCAGGAGCTTCGTATTGAGTTCTGTGTGGGTTTCAGAGGACACCATAACTTTGTTAGATGGCTCTCCCATTGTCTGCTGCAGAACAATGGCCAGGACGTGGGGTGGGGGTCAGCTTGTGCCTCTGGAGCCACAAAGAAGCCTCCCACTGTTAGCGTGTCTTTACATGGAAGGTTGTGTTTACCAGGCCAGTTTGCTGATGATGAAATGCTATTGAACATTGATTCACACACAGTATGTTCTTTTGTTTTGATTCCTTAGACTCTAGAAAGATTGTGCCATGAATGGTGATACTCGGGCTGCAGTGGTGACTTCACCACCCCCGACCACAGCCCCTCACAAGGAGAGGTACTTCGACAGAGTAGATGAGAACAACCCAGAATACTTGCGGGAGAGGAACATGGCGCCAGACCTTCGCCAGGATTTCAATATGATGGAGCAGAAGAAGAGAGTATCCATGATTCTGCAGAGTCCTGTAAGAGAAATGTGTCCTGGAACAAATGCAGGCTTCCCACTTCTGCTGCCTCATTTCCTGTGGTCTGTTGTCCGAGTGGTGGATCAGTTGATCTTCACACAGGAAATGGGTGCCTCAATTACATGTCATGTTTGTTGAAAGAATTTTGTTGGGTTTGTGTTGTCAGACATAGTGAGAGATCATCAGTGTCACAGAGGCAAGGAGGTATTTGTTTCTCCAGGGCTCTTTTGTTTATTGGGACAGCTTGAAAATTACTGTTTCCTCCAGAATGCAATTGAGTGTCACTAACCCAAAACTCTGAAATCTGAAACATTTTGAACATCATTCATTCAGGAGGGTTTGGATTTCAGAGCATTTCAGAATTGTGGATTAGAGATGCATAACCAGTAAAGTCTATTCAAAATTTTCCAAGCTCTGAAAAACTCCCAATCTGAATCACTTTTGGTCCCACACATTTTGGATAGGGGTCACTCAGCCTGGTCCTAGCATGGTCCTAGGCACAGAGTAGGTTAACAGCAGGAAATTCTCCACAGCCAGCGTTTGAACCACAGTCACAACGACCCAAGTGTGGGTCGGTTGCATTTTCAGGGAAAGTGGGACTGTTGTCATGGTGGTCTTGTGTTGATGCTGCCATCCTTCTGTGTGCCCGCCTCCCCTCCTTTCCTTCCTTCCTTCCTTTCCCCCCTCAGTATTTTTAGGAAACATTGATTGTGTCTCATGTGCTGTGAGGACACATGGGTTAGAACTAGGGATTTAGCAGTAAATAGGACATAGACGGTCTCTAATGAATAGTTTTGGTTGAGTTGTTACTATTAAGGTATGACTTACATATGGTCAAGTACACTGATCCTACGTATATAGCTTGATAAAGAATTTTTTTTTCCATGTTGAGGCTCTAGTCCAGACCTTGCACATGCTAGGCAAATGCTTTACCAGTGAACTACATCCTCTGCCCTTTTATTTATCCCTCATTTTTATTCTGAGACAAGCTCTCACCAAATTGCCCAGGCTGGCCTTGAGCTTGTGATCCTCCTGCTTCAGTGTCCCGAGTAGCTGGGATTATAGGTGTGGACCACTATGCCTGGTGCTTAATGAGTCCTGACACATGTAGGACGTGTGTAATCACCCAGATCAGGCCTCAGACTTGATATTCCAGCTGAAGAAGGGAAACAAGAAAAGCAAACAGAAGTTCAGTGCCAAAAGCAGCATGTTGCTTAGACTGAACAGAACTATGCTCTCTCTGGGAGGGCAGATTTAGTGTGTGCTGCCGAAACGAGCACTTGGAGGGAAGATTTAAATCGGCTCTGCCGAGAAGGAGCTGACTACATGGGAATCCAGTGGAGTTGTCCAGGTCACGGGATCACCTAATTTGAGCATGAAGGGCTTGAGGAGCCACAGGCGGCCAGTGTGGTTTGTGTTTTGCCCGTGCCAGGTTTCCCCTCTGGAGTGCTGTTGCACATGCGGGCTCGCTGTCCTTATCGTGTGCGTAGATGGGGTCCGGGGTACTGGGAGACACTGGGCCAGAATGAGGGCAGTGCACTTGTGCTGCATCCTTCCTCCAGCGAGGGGAAACTGGCTGCAGTCTCTTTTCAGCCCAAGGAGTAAAACTAGAAGCAAGTTTAGTGTGAAATTCGTGAGTCCTGGAGTACTTGTAGTTAGATGTGGACCCTCACCCAGTGAGCTCACATCTTCATATTACATATCATTTACTTGACAGAGATAGATGTTTCTTTATAGACCATGTGAAAAAAATTGTATCAATATAGCTTGGGGAAACTATAAAATATATATTATTGCAACAGTGACTTTATATTAAAATTGCCACCAAACCAGTGGTACCTTTTGACTAATCTAGGATTGATAAAGAATGTATACATTTGGGATATATATATTTTAAAAGTATTTTGGAGAAAATACTGGAAATTGCAGAGTGGTACCCAAAATTACTAATAATGTTGTCACTAAGATAATTATAATTAACATTTTGATATATTTACTTTTACTTTCCTTCTGTTTAGATGTGTATTTACTCTTACAAAAATGGGTTATAGTGTTTTATGACCATTTTTACTAAAAAATCTGGCAAGAACCCTTTTTATGCCATTTATTATTTTTTTTTTCAGCTTTTCAAGTTGCAAGCACAAAATTTCCAGGGTACCAGATCAGTCCTCTAGTGTTTGAATTATAGGCTGTTTCCTTCTTTTGTCAGTAATGCTGAAATGAGAGTTCCTATGCATATCTTTGAGCACATTCCTCCTGATTATTTCCTTAAAATATATTCCTTGGAATAGAATTCCCTTTCAAGTTTTTAAGCTTTTATATTTATTAAATAACTTACCAGAAAATAATGTGTCAGTTTATATTTGCAGTTGTAATGTATTTGCTGTTCGAGCATAGAATAAAAACAAAAAATTGATTTATATGATAACTACCCCCACCCCAAGAAAAGAGAAATGGTGTCACACTCTTTTAAAATGCATGTTATTAGGCTTTCTGTGAAGAATTGGAATCGATGATACAAGAACAATTCAAAAAGGGGAAGAACCCTACAGGCTTGTTGGCATTACAGCAGATCGCAGACTTCATGACAGCAAACGTTCCCAATGTCTACCCAGCGGCTCCTCAGGGCGGCATGGCAGCCTTAAACATGAGTGAGTACTTTTTGGACTTGTCTCTGTAGGATGTGGGCCTATAGCTGTTGATATACGATGCTGAGTATTTTGGAAATAATTGTGTTTTAGTCAGTCATGGTGAAAAGTAGGCTGAAACCCTGAAGTTTCATGATGCAGAAGGGTCCTCTTAGCAAAGCAGAGATTCTGTTGTTTCTAAGGCACAGGGCTTTTATGTGGTTCTTAGGCCCTTTGTGAGTTAAAAACTAATCAGAAGCAATGCTTATGGTGTAGTACCTCAGTTTTGGCTGAATCATTTCATCCATGCCAATATTTCTTTTCTTACTTAACTTTTCTTATTACTGCTTGTACACTAAGGAAAAACAGCAATGCCCAAAGCAGGGCGGTGGAGCAAGGCTGGACGGATGAATCACAGCAAAGGAACCAGTTAGCTCTGTGGGGCAGAGCTTTGTCCTGGCTGTGGACTTGGCATCCCCAAGGCAGAACACGGGTGATGTGAGCTGCTGCTGGCCTGACCGTGTGTAGTGTCTTGGTTAGATGGTCAGACCTGACCAGCAGCTACGCAGGGTGCTGGTTTCCATTGGTTCACCTGCTGGCTGCTGTTTAACTGTCTGTCCAGTGGTGTTCTTAGGAGTTGATTGACTTTCACTGGATGTGATGTATTGTTCCCTGCAGAGTATTGAGAATCATATTTAACAGGGCAGGGTGCCACACACACCTGTAATTGCAGCTCCTTGGGAGGCTGAGGCAAGAGGATTGCAAATTCAAGAACCTGAGCACTTAGTGAGACCCTTTCTCAAAAGCCCCTTGAAAAGGGGCTAGGTGCAGATCAGTGGTAGAGTACGTGCCTAGGATGTTGCACTTGCATCTTATAGTCAGATAAAGTATATTTTTTTCAGTCATGCCACATTCATTAAAAAAAGGAAAGGAAGACAAAGATTTCTTTTTCTTTTTTCTCAGTGTTTATTTGTTTTGTTTTTGTTTTTTTTGGTACCGGGGATCTAACTCAGGACCTTGGGCTTGCAAGGCAGGCACCAGAACCTTCGAGCTAAATCCCTGGCCCTCTCAACGTTTGTTTTCACTCATTTTTCCTCCTTGCCTTCTGCATTGGCTGGAGCCTGTGGTACTGTGCTCAGTGCTAGTGCCAGGGATGTACCTGTACCACTCTTTCACCTTGCATTGGACTCAGTGGGAGGTGTTTGTTGAAGTCCTTTGTCCGGACAGCATGTGCTTATCTGTGTCTGCTTTGCTGAGAGCTGTCTCTGGTGTACACTGGATTGTGTGCAGTGCGTCTTCTGCATCCACTGAAAGGGTCACGTGGGTCTTCTTCGGGTCACGATAGTGATTACATTGGTTTCAGATGCTGACCCAACCGTGCACTCTATAGATGAATCCTACTGCTTGTGAGGGTTTTTATTTATTTGTTTTATTTTTTGAGACACTGTTGTTCAGGCTGGGCTATCCCAGGTTGACCTCAAAATCATGGTGATTCTCCTGCCTTAGCCTCCAAAATGTTGAGGTTACAGGTGTGCACCACCACACCTGGCTTGATCGTAATTCTTTAACTCTGTGTATTACTGGTTTATTTGCTAAAGTGTAGTGCTCTTTAGGCTGTGTTCATGAGAAACATGGGCTTTTCCTTGCAGTGTCCTCTAATGTCTCTGTGTGCACTGGTGAGAGGGAGAGCTGGCCTCATAGCATGAGCTGGAAGGTGTTCTTGAAGAGCTTTTCTAACCTTGGTATTATTTCTTCCTGGAAAGTTTGGTAAAGTTCACAGCAGCATCTTGGCCTTGGGTTTTCTTTGTGGGAAAGTTCGTAACTGCTGACTTGGCTTAATAGAAATAGGGCTCTTGCCGGGCCTGGTGGCTCACGCCTGTAATCCCAGCACTGGGAGGCTGAGGCAGGAGGATCACTATGAGTTTGAGACCAGCCTGGACTACATAGTGAGATCCAGGTTAGTCTCAACTACATAGTGAGACCCTGTCTCAAAAAACAAAAACAACAACAACAATAACAAACAAACAAACAAAAAGAAATAGGGCTCTTGAGGGCCTCTGTTCTGCTTAGCTTTGGAGTTTGTGCATTTTGTCAGTAAAGAGTTGCTGTATGGTAGCTTGTACCATGCCTTTACTGCCCTTTCAGGGCTTGCAGGGGTGTAGTGAGGGCCCCTCTGTTTCTTTACATTGAGTTTTTCTGTCTCCACTGTTTTGTTGGCAAGCTTGCTGGAGTTTTGTTTCATTGTTTAAGCTTGTCTTAATAATTTTAAATTTGGTATCTTCTTAAAGAACAACTTTTGCTTTAATAAAAACTACTTTTTCTTTATTTCTAATATATATGTGTAATGCTGTAAGTTTCCTTCTGAGCATGCTTTACTACATCCCACAAATTTGACTACCTTTTTGTTGCTTTTTTTTTTTTTTTTTTTTTGTATCAGGGATTGAACTCAGGACCTTGTGCCTGAGAGGCAGGTGGCATTGTTACTTATTACTAACTTATGTATATTAATGTTGCAGAGTACAGTCTTTATGTTTTTGAGACTTTCTGGTCCGGTATGAAAGATGTACAGCTCAGGTCCATTGTTACTTGATTTATATGGTAAGAATTGTTAATATTTGAGTCGTTTTCTTTATCTCAGGTCTTGGCATGGTGACCCCTGTGAATGACCTCCGAGGCTCTGATTCCATCGCATATGACAAGGGGGAGAAGCTGCTGCGGTGCAGACTGGCTGCCTTCCACAGACTGGCCGACCTCTTCGGGTGGTCTCAGCTCATCTACAACCATATCACTGTGAGCAGGCAGTGCTGGCCAGGGCGGAGGCCAGTGGGTTTCAGGAAGTCTGCAGAATGCAGCAGGCCGGCAGTTGCTGTGTTCAGGTCAGAAGTCATGATGATGGTTATTCTTTAAAGTTTCTTTCTTAAATGCTGACCTAATAAACAAGTGTTTACTAAATTATAGCAGTTCCTAAAATTCTTTTTATGCTTAAAAGCGTAGGAATGAACTGTTTGCGTCCCAGTGCTGACCAGTGTTGTTTTTTTGTTTTTTTTTGGTACCAGGAATCGAACTCAGGTACTTGTGCTTGTGAGGCAGGTGGCAGCACCACTGAGCTAAATCCCTGGCCCTACTCGTTTTTTTGTTTGGTTTCGTTTGGTTTTTGAGACAAGGTCTCACTCTGTAGTCCAGGCTGGCCCTGAACTCACTCTGTATTCCAGGCTGGCCTCGAACTTGTGATGATTCTCCTGCCTCAGCCTCCTAAGTGCTGGGATTACAGGCGTGCGCCACCAGGCCTGGCTCAGCTACTACAGTTTTTAAAAACCATTTGCAACATTATCGGTCCTTCTCTTTTCTTCAGTTCATCCATGGTACACATTGCTTGGGTGCCTGTTGCCCATACCAAGCTTTGCTGTAACTGGGGTTACGCCCAGGCTGGTGCTACATTCCGTCTCTGGCATGGGAGCAGAAGCCTCCCAGCAGAACCTCTGGCTCTGCCCTTTGGCTGGTAGCCCACCTCGGCAAGCTTGTCACTGCCCTGCAGCCAGGGGCATTTTCCATGTAGACTTAGCAGCACGGAAAACTCCTGGCCTCTTCCTTCTCTCCACAAGTGACCACCTCATGGTGTCATGGAGACAATGAGAACCCTTTTGTCCTTGTGTCCATGCTTAGTCCTGACCTGATGACCTATTACAGGGTCCTGTTCTGGCCTGACTTGTTCTCTAGCTTGGAGTTCATCCCCTCCTGGCTGCTTAGATTTCTAAGGCATCCACAGGGCAGCTAGATTGTTTCCCTCCCTTCATTTATAGAGATAGCTTTGTTCTTTGAACTGCTTCCTTCCTTTCTTTTTTTTTTTTTGACAGTACCGGGGAATCAAACTCGGACCTTGTGCTTGCCAGGCAGGCACAGCACCCCTGAGCTACACTCCCAGTACCCGCTTCCTTGGTTTTTAAGCTTGTTTCCGTCTTCTGTGTTTTGTTTCATTTCTTTTGTTGGGTATTTCAAATCATTAGTGCCTGCTTGGTGTAATGGGCATACCTTACGCAGATGTCTCAGAGATAGTCATGGTCCTGCCCATCTTCTGCCTCCTGAGTTGCCAGCACTGACGGCTGCTGAGACTGTTAAATCTTTGCTTCTGTGCTCACTGCACATGGTGCTCATCAGCTCTGCTGGATTGCTGGCAGTGTGAGGCCTCCAAAGGTGGTGGCATGGGGCCAGATGCCTCTGTGACCAGAGTGCTGTGCTTCTGGGACTCGACATTGACCCTGCTTGAGTCAGAGTTGTCTGCTCTGCATCTGTTCCTTGCATTGCTTCTAGAATGAACTTCTCAGAATGCAGGCTGACTGTATGGGTCAGGCCCCTTCCTGTGTACTGGGCTTTCTCGTGCTGTGCAGTCGTTTGCTGGTCTCCCCTGCCAGTAGCCTTCCTCCATCCTGTACATTCCTTGTTGCTATCTCCCCAAGGGGCACAGAGAGAGCATGTCCCTGTTCGGTGCCCTGGCATGAGAGCCCCCACTGGCCAAGTTGCTTCCATAAAGTTGAGACAAGAACTTGCCTGGGCTTTCTGATGCTGGATTAATGGGCGCATTAGCCCAGCTGGGTGCGGCTCCCCTCCTGGGGCACCCGGATGCTGCTGGCCTCTATCAGTTACATTGGGCAGGGTGCTGTAGTAGAGATTTTGTGCTACATGGTGGCCTGAGAATGAGTTGCGTGAAAATGCCACAGCTGTGATAAGGAATGTCCTATTGTGAATGAAATATAAATAAGTGTGAGTCACTTAAAGCAGGTCATCCTGCCCTTTCTTTGAAAGAGGGTCTTAGGGAGTTTCTGCTAAAGGGATTTAAAATGCTAACAGGTGTTAGAGGATGGGAATGGATTGTCTGAGTTAGATCTTTGCGATTGCATTGGATTTAGAGAAGGCCTTGCCTGAAGGAGGACAAGCCAGGCTGGCCCAGCTGGCACTTGGGCTGACCTGTCTCAGTGCTCCTTAGTCAATGGCTGCGCCTTTCTGTTCTGACTGTGAGGCTTAGCACCTGCTTGGCAGGTGCTTGGCTTAGTTCCATTTTGAACTCCAGGCAATGCTGACCTCTGAGGTGACTGTGTGGAGCCCACCCTATGTGCAGGGCCCTGCACGTGGGGACGTGGTGTTGCTCCCTAGAGCCACAGAGTGGGGCCACTGGTTCCTGCTGCCAGAAGGTTGGACTAAACACCTGTAGTCTTTCTGCAAACAATGCATCCCACTGACTCTAAGCTAGTAGTAAATGTGTTTCAATTTAATCTATAGCAAATCTTTGGAATCTATAAAAGTTTATACAAACTAGATTATGAGCTGGATGTGGGGTGCACACCTGTAATTCCAGCGTTCCGAAGGGTGACACAGGAGGATCCCCATGATTTCAAGGCCAGTCTGGGTTACATAGTGAGACCCTGTCTCAAAAAACCAAACAGGGGGCTGGGGATTTAACTCAGTAGTGCCTCCACCTGCCTCACAAGTGCAAGGACCAGGAGTTCAATTCCTGGTACCAAAACAAAACAGACAACCAAAACAGTGAAAACAAAAACCAAAGTAAAAGAAAAACTAGATTGAACTTATATATTTATAAACTTTTGTGGGCAGGACTCTTACTTATTCTTTTTAGTACTGGAGATGGAACTCGCGACCTTGTGCTTGCCAGGCAGGCAGTGGCACCACTGAGCTAAATCCCAGGTCCAAGGCTCTTCTTTCTCTACTGCTGTAATCCTAGCACTTAGTGTACATTTGGCACCAGATCTGTGTTGAATGAATTCTGGAAAAAAAAATACACTGTGCAAGGAGCAGCAATGTTGTGTTCTGTGGAGAATTTAAAAGAGATTGCTGTCATTGTGATTTTAGAAAGCAGGTTTTGGTTTTTATTCTTATACCCCGAGGTGTGACCTGTGATAGCTTTCACCTTTGAGACTGCTTGCATTTCCAGTGAGTTGACGGGGATTAACTGGCCTTTCAGAGTGCTGCTGTTGAACTGCTTTGATTCTCTATAGTCTCTCTCTCTCTCTTTTTTTTTTTTTTTTTTTTTAGCTAGGGTTGTGCTAACTTACCCAGGGCAGCTTCAAACTTGTAACTATCCTGCCTCACTGTCCCAGGTGGGTAGAATCACAGGCATGCACCACCACTAGCCTCTGTAAAGTCAGTTTTCATAAGTGTGACCAGGAAGCACTTTCTGTACTTCACAATTTAAATTGCTATTTAAGAACGGAAGGCTTCCAGTACCACTTTGAGCTCTCTGGGTGCTGTGTGGAAGTACCCCTGCATACCTCACCTGTAAGTTTGGTCTGAAAGAGACGCAGGTAATTTCAAAGGCACTTAGGAGCTAACTCCTTTGTTCTTCCCGCAGGCCAGAGTGAGCTCCGAGCAGGAGCACTTCCTTATCGTTCCTTTCGGGCTTCTTTACAGCGAAGTGACTGCGTCCAGCTTGGTAAGGGATTTGTGCAGATCTCGGCGGGTCCCTCCAGCTGTAGCTGCACGTGTAAGACCCAGGTCCTGGGTGGTGCTGCGAGCATCCAGCCCCAGTTATTCCATACAGGGAAGACCCTCCGGCATCATGAACTCACACCTGAGTGTGGCTTTACATGCTCTGCAGCAGGGCTGAGTGGCGGTCCTGTCGACATCTTTAGCTTTGGTTTACTTCAGGTTAAAATCAATCTACAAGGTGACATAGTGGACCGTGGAAGCACTAACCTCGGGGTCAATCAAGCCGGCTTTACGCTGCACTCAGCAATCTATGCTGCCCGCCCGGACGTCAAGTGCATTGTGCACATCCACACACCTGCTGGGGCCGCGGTGAGTGCACGCCTCGGGACAGGCACTCAGCCTGACTTTGCTGGACTGTAAAACACCTTTCCCTGATGTTTTTCTTTCTTTTGTGGTGCTGGGGTTTGAACCCAGAGCCTTGCACATGCTAGGTAAGCACTAAACTGCAGAACTATACCCACCACCCCTAGCAGGGCTTAATCTAAAAAAATTTTAATTCTTTTCCTTCTAAGGAATCTGTTTGCTGTCTAATATTGAAAAACCAGTAATGAGTCTACAGATGTCTGTTTGATATTAATAATAGGAATCCGAGAGGATTGCTGTGGGATGCGGGTTAACTGTGTTGGGAAGGGTGGGGAAGTGCTGAGTGATGGCAGTAAACAAGACCCTTTCTAAGGAGGGGCACGGGGACAGGAGGGAGGCCACGGAGAGGCAGGTCAGGCAGACTTGAGAGTGCTCACCAGCGCTGAGGCGGAGGCTGGGCAGAGGCCAGAACTACCCCGCCCTGCTGCACCTCAGTCCTGGGTCACAGTGGGCAAATAGAAGGGCTCTTTGGGGCAGAGGCCCTGGCGGTGAGGAGACCTGGCCTCCATGCCCAGCTCCATGGAATATGTTTTAAAAGTTACCAGGGCTGACTCTGTAGCTCAGTGGTAGCTGCTTGTCTAGCATGCACAAAGGACCTAGAGGAAAATAAGTGTCAAAATGACTGCTTCATAAGGAAATTTCTTTTTCGGTACCAGGGATCGAACTCAGGTCCTTGTGCTTGTGAGGCAGTCACCAGAACCACTGAGCTAAATCCCCGGCCCATAAGGAAATTTCTAATATGAAGGCTAATACTCTGAAAGGAGTTAAATGTGGCATGTGTTTTTACATAAACTTTGTGGAATGTGCCTGTAGGTCTTTGAGTCTCGAGTCTGTCAGCTAGATAGCTAGCTGTCTAGAAGACCTTCAAAATTAGCATATTCAAAGGGCAGTTTTGGGGGATTTCAGGAAATTTGAAGGTCTGTGAGGCCTTTTAGATCGTTTTTTACTCTGAGGCTCAATTTTACTTAAATATACGTAAAGAAAAGAAAAGAAATTATACCATATAGTTGTCCTAAACTTTTATACATTCAGTTTTGACTAATTTTCGTGCATCTTGTGCTTACCTGCCATTTAAGGTGGAAGTACACAGACCATCAATGCACTAGCAATGTCTTTGAGAGCCATCACGTGCTCCTTGTGTGGATGCTCGCTCTGGGTCCTTGAGTCCTTGCTCTGCAGTGATTGTGATCACTGGGAAGCCCCAGGTCCCCCACTTTCTCCTGAGGCTCTCTTTGCTGTCTGCACTGAGCCCTGGAGCGTGGTTTATACTTAGGTTCAAGGCTTTCATTTATTTCCAAAAAAGGGACAAGATAAAACCCTTTCCCTGTTTTAATATCTCTGTGAGGAAAGTGCTTACTGGTCCTGGATCACAGTGTAACACTGGCTTCTCCCTTCCTGGTGCCTGCTTGGTCTGTAGGTGTCTGCAATGAAATGTGGCCTCCTTCCGATCTCCCCGGAGGCTCTCTCCCTTGGAGACGTGGCATATCACGACTATCATGGAATTCTGGTGGATGAGGAGGAAAAGGTGTTGATTCAGAAAAACCTGGGGCCTAAGAGCAAGGTCAGTAGGTGCCACCTCTGGGCTTGGAGTTCTGGGGGCGGAGGAGCTCAGGAAGCCGGGTCTGCCTGCTGGCTCCACAGTGCTCCACTCCCTTCCAGGTGCTTATTCTGCGGAATCATGGGCTCGTGTCTGTTGGAGAGAGTGTGGAGGAGGCCTTCTACTACATCCATAACCTGGTGGTAGCCTGCGAGATCCAGGTAGGTGATGGCTGCCCTGCTTGGTCTGCAGTTGCTGTAGCTGTCCTGGGTTCTGCAGATCCTTGACGATTGTCTTACAGGAATGTGCTGTTGAGCATCTCTGCCAGAGATGAGCTCACTAAGTTTGCGCTCAGCCAGGACAGATACCATTTTCCTGACTTAAGTCACATGATATCGCTGGGCTTTTCATTTGTAATTTTTTCTTTTTCAAATAATATTTATTTTTCAAATAATATAAGTGATTAGCATTTGAAGAGTACTGGTGTGTACTGGGCCCCATATTGAGTGCCTTTCACATTCCTTCTGGAAAAGCAGGAGCAGAGGTAGACTTGCCCTATATCTGCTGTGATGCCCTCATGCCCTCATGCTCTGTCCCTGATCCTAGCTTGTCTGTGGGGGCATGAGATTCCAAGACCTTGGGGTCTGGAAGGCTGCTTTGTTTTCCCATTCACTACCAGGTGTGAATACCCAATAATTTTTGTCATGCAAAGGAAAGCCTTCTGAAAATGACCTTATGGTCAGTGCTTTCACCATCCACCCTCCGTGTTTGTACCCACACTGTGGGGAACTTGCTGTTCCCTCGCTGTTGAATCCTACCTTTCTGTCCAAGTGTCCCCCAATCATCTGATCCTCTTGATCTCTGTTTGGAACTCAAGCCATTGTGTTTGCTTGTTTTGAAATAGGTTCGAACTCTGGCCAGCTCAGGAGGACCAGACAACTTAGTGCTGCTGGACCCTGGGAAGTACAAAGCCAAATCCCGCTCCCCGGGACCCCCAGTGGAGGAAGGCAGCGGGTCCCCTCCCAAGTGGCAGACTGGGGAGCAGGAATTTGAAGCCCTCATGCGGATGCTGGATAATCTGGTAAGAATGGTGCTCTTGCTGGTGGCAAAACTTTTATTGTAAAGACACAGATGTCGGTGCCTTTACAACAAGCAGAATGGCCATTTTCATGCTTATCTCAGTGATTTCACCCTCAAAAATTATCATGAATCATGTTTTAAAAAATTATTTTTATTAGTACCTGTGTACAGTATATAATGATTATATTCACCATGGGACATAGGTACATGTAAAGATTTTTTAACTGCTGGGTTAAATCATGATAAAATACAGAGATCAAGATTTTGTCCATTGTCCTGTTTTTTCAAGATGATGTGACATCAGTGGGACAGGAGCACTGAGCACGCTCCATAGTGGCTGCTGGGTAGCCAGCTGGCAGCGCAGCACTGACCTCCCACAAGCTGGATGCGAGGGCCTCTCTCAGGCAGCCATATGTGGTCTGTTTTGCTAGTTGGTTCTGCCTGCATGTCCCAGCCATCTTTTCTGCTCTGGGGTAAGTGTTGTGCTGTGGACTGTAGGGACAGGAGCTCAGCACAGCTCAGAGGCCAGTGCTTTGGGGCTTCCAGCAAAGCAGGGAGGATGTCCACAGTGCTGCGCATGCCTTGCTGGATGTGGTCCACGTTCGAGTTTGGAGTGAGGGATTTTGTCCCTTGGCAGAGATTAGGGAGAAAGCTTTCTGTAGAAGGTGGCCCTTGGAAATGACCCCAAGGAGCCTGACAGGCCGAGAGAAGAGAAGGAATGCACCTTTGCAGATACAGCCAGGAGAGATGGGAGTGTGTGCTGCAAAGGAGCTTTCAGGTCTGTCTTGGAGGTTGGCAGCTCCTGCACGTAGTCACTTCCTGACTAGAGCACTGTCCGGAAGTCACAGCCCACACACACAGTATGAGGTGAACTGCCCTGCAGCGGAATCCTGCTCAAGCTGTAGATGAGGCTCGGGCGTTCATCTTAGTGCTGGGGAAGGACATAGGTCCTGCCGTAGGAATTCATGGCCCAGAGGGGATGTGGACAGACCTCAGGTACAGCCCTATTCATGTGATCTGCTTGGTAACTGCAGTGTCTCTGAGAGCTGCAGAGGTGGAGTTGGGAGCCTGATGCCAGCAGTGAGCAAGGGAAACAGTATGAAGAGGAGATGCTAACAGGGAAGACAGAAGAAGGAGTCACAGTGTGGTGATGGCCTGGGTGGTGTCGCTTTAGGAAAGTCGCCCCAAGGCAAGGGGTGCTGAGCTGGCCCAGCCACACAGCCCCTCCCTTCCACTTAGTACTTTGACATCTCCCCGCTTTTCTACCCTGAAGACAGTCACGTGAGGAAGGGGGAGAGGAGATGACCACATACATCGTCTAGGAGCTGGACAGAGGAAATGGAAACGAGGCAGTAATGGTTTAATGGGAGAGGAGGGTGTACGATGAAGGAGTAATAAGGAGTGTGTGTTTTCAGCATCTCCAATAGGCACAGATATTAGCAGGTGACCTTTAGTATGAGGATGCTGTGCAGACTGTTAGGCATGAACTGGACTTTAACTGACCCTAACCTGGGTTTTAGGTTAGCATTTGATCAGCTGTTTATTGTTAGCTGATAATTGAGATCGGTGGAGAATAGGTGAGATTCCACACTACGAAGCACTTCTTCTTGGGCCGGGGATTTAGCTCAGTGGTTTGCTGCCTGCCTGGCAAGCATGAGGACCAGAGTTTGATTCCTGGTACCAAAAAAAAAAAAAATAAAAAAATCCACTTCTTTAACATTTACACCTATAGGAAATGCTAAATTGGCTTCCAAAACAAGACATAATTTCAGTTTCTTCAAGGAGGAACAAGCACTCACACATTACATGTGTGTACATGTTACACATGTATGCTGCTTGCTGGGTACTGGACCCAGGGCCTTGCACATCCTCATGCACACATTCTACTACTGAGCCACCCCCACCTCCATCTTTGTAGCTACAAGCCTGATTTGAGTTTTAGGGTTTTTTGGGTTTTTTTGTGGTACTGGGGATCGAACTCGGGCAGTGGAACCACTGAGCTAAATACCCAGCCCCGGGTTTTAGGGTTTTAACACCGCCTTGGTGTGGTGGTGTTTAGGGGGTAGCCCTGGGGGATCAGGTGATGTTTGGGCCAGGGCTGTGTCCTCCAGTCCCAGAGCAATCTCAGAGTCTGGGTTCCAGAGAGTGGCGAGCTGAGCAGGTGTGAGTTGTGTTTCTGGAGGCTGTCTTTATGCTTGAGTCATTCTCTTTCATTATCCCTCAGCAAAGCACGCTCATAATGGAAAATCTCAAAACGACACTTTCCTGAGTTTTTTTTTTTTTTTTTG